AGCTTGTTGTCCTTCTCTAGTATACAGAATGAACAGTATATATGTCCGTGATGGTTCTCCAGGATTTTCCTGATCGGCATCGGACTCGGCGTCGCATATCTTCGCCACTTCGGTGTTCGCCGTGCCAAGCCTGCCTTTCGAGCATGCCGTGTTGAATCTGTGGCGGCAACCTGGGGAGGCTGGACTGGAGCCAGGTGTTAAGAGGAGGTGCGAGACTAATACAAACATCATAGCATCACAAGTTAGACCGAAGGTCTGTCCATGAACAAGTTGCTTAGTTGTCAAAGAGGTGGGGATGCCGAGTCTACTTATACTCGAGCCGTGTGGCTGAAACTGGGTAAGGCTGAACACAGCCACCGCTTTCCAACACTCCCCCTCAGACGAAACCCAGTGAAAAGGCGAGGGGTACGCTCACAAAGACACGAAGCTCCCATTTGTGTGGTGCTCCCATATGGACAGACGGCCAGGCCTCGTTAAACCCCTCTGTAAGGGAAAGAGTGCCGGGACTTACACAAGGAGGGGCGGCAGACAGATCGATCCTCATGGTTCCCTTCTCCCCCTCACCTGGTGCGAGCCCATTCAAGACCCAATGCCTCCCTGAACTGTTCGAAGCGATCCTTTCGTAAGGCTTTTGTGAGGCCATCAGCAACCTGCTTCTCCGTCGGGATGTAGTGGAGGCCAATCTCTCCGGATGTCTGCTTCTCCCTGACGTAGTGGTGCTGAATGCCAATGTGCTTCGTTCTCGGGTGAAGCTGCGCGTTCTTGGCCAGGGCGGTTGCTCCTTGGTTGTCGCCGTAGATGACCGTGGTGGTGAGGTCCTCCCTTGCTTGGAGCTCGCGGAGGAGTGCCTGGAGCCAGATTGCTTCCTTTGTCGCCTGAGTTTGCCCCATGTACTCAGCTTCGCAGGATGAGAGTGCAACGGTGGCTTGTCGCTTCGAAGACCAGCTGATTGCTCCGCTTCCGATGTTGAAGACGTAGCCTCCCGTTGAACGCCGAGCCCCCAAGTCCCCGGCCCAGTCGCTGTCCGTGTAGCCGACAAGGGGTTTGAGGCTTCCCTTGTACACGAGAGCCAAGTCGATGGTGCCTCTGAGGTATCGCATGATCCGCTTCATAACCTTGATGTGTCCCTCGGTCGGGTTCGACGCGTAACGGCTGCACGCGGACACGGCAAAGGCAATGTCGGGTCTGGTACTGAGCATGGCGTACATCAGCGAGGCGATGGCTTTGGCGTACCAGGTTTTCGCAACCTCCGTAGACTGAAAGGCTTCCGGGGCTGGTTCCATATTCTCTTGTATCGGCGTCAGGATTGGCTTTGATTCCCACATCCCAAAATCCTTCAGGACCTTTTCCAGATAGCCGTGCTGGGAAAGATAGATGGCGCGCTTGCTCCTGTCCCGCCTAACAGACATGCCCAGGTAGTATGAGCAGGGTCCAAGGTCCGACATCTCAAAGCGGCTGCTCAGGGCCTCCTTCAGCTTTCCGATGTCTTCGGGGCTGAACTTGCTCATGACCTCTATTGGAAAGTGAGTACTTCAGAAACGTTTCCAGTGCCTGTCCCTGACTTGTCAGCTCCTTGCTGCATCGCATCAAAGCCGGAATGAAAGAAATGCGTATCTCTGCCATGCAGTACGTCGATGCTTCTGGGCCGCCATCATATGTCAGTGAAGACCCCGACGATCAAGGCAATGACGACAAGGGAAAAGGGAAAGGCGAAGAAGAAAGGGAGGTAAAATACGTGGAACCTCAAGAATTCTCACCAAAAGACTACCCCTACAACCAACACTGGTCCAACATTGATGCGCTACCCTTTATCCTAATTCCTCAAAAAGAGCTCATCGATGCCGTCTCCGCCCTCCCTCCTAGCGCCCACGCTGAAATCGCCCATGCCCTCGCCAGTAACATCCAAGTCGCGAGCTACAGATTCTACCGCAGGCACCTGCTGAGCTGGGATCAAAAGGCGCTGCGGTCGCCTGATGCGTACGCACCTCTCTTCGCTGACATCGATGAGCTACCAAAGGCCCCGGAGTCGCTGACCATCGAGCAGTGGCTAGGTGGCATCGTCAGCACACACATGAACGGGTGCTGTCCTGGCCTGATTAGGAACGAAGAGGATTTCCACCGCTCCGCGGTACACCTGCTACGCATATCGGCGTTCTGGACACCATGGAAGTCGCTTGAGCTGCTAGAGTTTGAGAACTGTTTGTCGCTTGAGCTGGACTGGTGTTTTATCTCTCAGTGACTGGGGCTCGTTGGCGAGGCTCAAACTGATGTGGAAGATTCTGCACCCGGATGAGTTTGAGCATGATGACGTGGAATGGGTGTACCCCGAAGGCTGGATGCCGGATTTGTCCAGGGTTCACGCCTTGCCGTGGAACCCGCCGGCTTCGCAGCCGTCGATGGTGGCTTCGATTTCTGCGCCCGCTGCATCAGCTTCCGAGACCTTGCCGGTGCCGGAAGAAAACGCTAGGCCGGAAACGTCCTCGGCTGAATCGACGACTTCGATGACCAAGGCCAGCGGCGCGGCATCGGATAGCCTGGAGGGGAAACGGAAGCGAAGGAGTTCCCTTACGCTCTTCCGGCGGCCCAAAAAGCAGTCCACGCTGCCGGATGAATGAGTAGTTATGGGTAAGGTCCGTCAGTCTAGGGGTACAGGCTCAACGGAATGCTAAGCTGGGAAAGAAACCCTGACTTAGCATCCCATGCGTTAGGCCCTCCTCACATTTACGTGTGGCGCAGCCCTTCCTCGCCGCGTTTGACGAGATTGATGATCAAGATAACCGGAGTTTGGTGTTGGGGATTTTGAGAGGATCTTGGAGCATACCCGATTAGAGGCGATAAGTTTTGTGCTGTGTTTTTAGATAACGATGAGTGGTAACAATACCCGGAAGTTTGGTGTTGATACTTTTGAGGGATTCTTGGGTGATTTGGGGGTTGGAGGCATCCCGTTCTGCTTATGTTTGTGAGCGTTCGTGCATAGAATTCGAAGTCTGAATAGTTGCTCCGCTTTTTGAGTGCCAGTCATACGGAGTAGATTCGCTGTGTACCACTCACTCCATGGCTTTAGCAACGAGCACCACCCATAATCACGACTCACAATCATTCATAACCAGTTCCTACATTCCCCATCCAACAAGGATGCCGGCCATCTGTTCTCAACTACTATAGGCTTCCTAGCACCAGGATGAGGAGCTGCACTAAGGGATATTATTTGAGCCGTCTCGGTCATGGGCAAGGACGTTGACATAAAGATCTCACGACGTCACGTCCACGGCCACCCCTAACCCACACCCGCCGCGCAATCAAGATCAAACGCACACAGACCCCCAACCCGACAAAAAACAACCTTCACGACCAGCTCCTCCCGCCACCCTCATAAACTTTCTCTCAAAGATCAGCAAAAAGAGAACTCATCCATTTCCGTTACCGGGAATCGAACCCGGGCCTACCCGGTTCATTGGTATGAAAGCGGGTGATCCTAACCCCTAGACCATAACGGATATTTGATGTTCAGATTCCGTGTTGTTTGAATCTCATCCCAGATAAATTACGATGCTGAGGTGAAGTGCGACAGCGACGAGCATCCGTGTTCGGATGCCGATGCCACGTCCTCGGGTGCTCCCCCCTAGCACGCCGGCAACCGGGACCGGCGGACTTTGACAGCATCTGCAGCCCATGTCCACGGGCCGAGTAAATTAAGTATCCCGGGGAGCCGGGCGACAGAGCGCCGGTCACTGCGAATAATATGGCGGTAAATGCGACAACTCCATTCATTTAGCGCGGGAGTGGTGTGACTTTTCTTGTCGAAAGAATGCAAGATAGCGATTATCTCGGTGGCCTGAGTCTGAGGATGCGGCCATGATCCTCCTTCATTTCCGACATGTCGAGTCGGAAGCCAACGGTTCGCGATGCATGCGCGAGTCGGCCCCCGTTGAGGTGCATTTGTCGCGGCTCTGGCGGCGTGAGTGGACTTGCATTGTCGCAGTCGAGACGGTTCCTTCGCGACACCATTGCGCATGCGGAAAAGGAACAGCGTCCCAAGTCTGTATCAAGATAGGCGCAGGAGATCCGGCCACGCTGCGTCCTCATCGCCGACGGCTTCACATCCCGCGCAGCAGCGCGCCCCCAAATCCACCACCACAACACAGCACTCTCGCTCCGCTCTCCCGCGCCCATCTCCATCATCCCACTCACGACATGATGAAAGCCCCAAAAAAAAATCACAAACCAAACATCCCTCCCCCCACTCCCTCAAACACGGTACCCGTGATCGACACCCGAATCCACGTGCCCGCACCCGCCAACCAGTTACCAGGCCTCGAACTCTCCTCCACGGGTCCGCCTCGCCCCCAGCCCACGCGTCCGGGTCGCGCACGTTGCCGCCGGTCGTTGGTACGACCCAGAGCCCTCAGTGCGGGCGAGCGCGTCCACTCCATCCCAACCTCGCCCCTCTACCCAAACCCCCACCGCATATCCAACAACACAGCGAACGGCAAGTACCCCACCCCCCGCCGGCGCTTCCCCAACCGCGCGCTCCCCGCCCCAGCTCAACAAATTTGGAATGCTGCACCCGCGCCCGCGGCGCCCCGGCTTCTCCCGCCTAATGGCTTTCCCAGCGCCCGGTATGGGGCCCCGGGTGGGCCCGGCGCGCCGTCGCGGCTTGGCGGCCGCTCCGGGGTTAGCGTCGGGGATGGGGATGGATTGGGTTGTGGGCCCGATGCGGGTGGCCCTGCTAGCTGGGATGGGGGCGGGGCGAGGGCCGGGTGGGCCGGGGTGGGGGCGGGGACGGGAGGGTGTGGGTTGGGGGTGGGGTTTGATGGGTGAGGTTGAGATGGGTGATGAGTTTGCGGAGGTTTGGGTGGCGAGATGGGTGATTTCGCTGGTGGTTGAGCTGTTGTGCAACGTGCCGGTAGAGTGAAGGGATATGGGGAATGGAGGTTTGGAGAACGATGGACTATTGGTATGCCCTTTATCCTCTCAAGGATATCTACATGTCTCCAACCTATGGTATTCACTAACCCGTACTGCGCCGAAGCTCGCGACATAAGCTTCCAGTGCCGCTGCTGCTAGCGGGTCCGTCTGAGCCGGCTACCGGTACGGATGTACATCCTCGCAATACTGTACGATATCAAGTTGCCGGCATGAAAGCAATTCGTCGATATCCCGAAGCATTCCCGCTCAGCCTCCCATTACCAGAGAGGCAATCCACCGCAAACAGACCGGGAAGGCATTGAAGGAAGGCTCTTGTCGCCCTAAAGCAACCCCCGAAAGCAATCTCGGCTTGAAGTTGCGCCCGCCTGTTGCATTCCGTTGCCTCCTGCGACAACAGTTTGTCTATGCCTTACCTCTCAAAGGAAAGCCGCCGCCATGTCCAAACATCGCGACAGCCGGCCGGTGACAATACCTCTACAACGCCATCAGTGAACCACGCCCGCACAATGGCATCCCAACGGTGAATATCAGGGCCGTATAAATCTCCTTACGAAGCTCGCAGGGCATTCCCAAACCAATACAGCAACACGAAGCATCGGCTTCTCTCACACATCCGACCATTCCAATATTCTTCCCGTACCATCGTACATCTCGAACTAACAATGTGCGTAACAAAGACCTACTGGTTCTCCTGCGGCCACGTCCGTCACTTCATCATCACACCGTGCGAGCTCGAGGGTTACGCCGGCCATCCCTACGAGGCCATTGATTCACGGTGTTATGACTTCCCGTGTACGGACTGCGATCCGAGCCAGCGGCAGGAAGTAGTCTAAGGCGAGGCGGACGAACGGGCGGTCTGCGCTGCAAAATGATAAAGGCAAGCAGAATGCGAGACTAGCCCGACCCGGGCTACGCGCGACACGCCCGGCACGCTCATACCGTAGGCCTCGGAGCTGAAACCGCGCGAAGCGCACTCTGTTTCGGCGCCTCGTTCATGCGTGATACGGTATTTTCATCCACGGCGCCGCACGTAGGTCGCTAAGAGAAGTTAGCGGGAGACTCTAATAAAAGTTCTTTCTCTTGAAACCCAACCAAATGCTCACCGTAATTTTGCAGCCGTAAGCAGGCTGTCGTCTGGCTTTCCCTTCTTCAGCTTACCTGAAATCCCGCGCTCCCGGGCTCAGCTTGCGTACAGGAAGCCCCGTCCGGGTTAGCCGCCGCGCCTCTCTCAGCCGGGTGATCCCTGCACCGCGGGGATGACGGGTGCACGGTGGCTTCTCCGCTTCTGCGGCTTGGACGTGCTGATGGCAGGGAGGGGGCTGGATAGGTACATGAATCGTGATGAGGCTGGAGGTTGTCTGACGGATAAGAGAAAGGGGATTCTGAAGAAGACGGAGGGGGCGGTGGTTGGCTTTCCGGATTTAACAATTGGGGTGCCGGGAATAAGGGCCGCGTGAAGACAAAGAGGACCGAAGAACGGAGACAGGAATCTCGATTGGTCCACGTTCAATACAGATTCTGTGCCTTACGCGTATCGTCAGCGTTGGCGCGCTGCAGGGGAAAGATGAAAAGAGCAAAGATTGAGATCTTGCGCATGCTTTCCGCGGCTCCTGCGTTAGGACAGTTGGAATAAAGGTCATGATCGGAACACTGGTGGCCCGATCGGCAGCGGATATGACCTTAGCTTATGCCCGGGCGAGATCGGCGCTCCATCGGCGGTAGAATCGCTGAGGCGTGCCATGTGGAGTATCTCTTGGTTGCCAATCACTGCCATTCCATTCGATATTTTGACGCTGAACTTCAATGTTGTTAGTTTAGCGCGACTGCTGCCGTCTTTGCGCGCCTCGATCTGCGGTTTGAACGGTATCGTCGATCGATCAGATCCGTGTTCTCTGCCGCCTCACCTTGGCAGGCATCCCCACACTTGACAAAATGTAGCTAAATAACTGGTCATCAAGGTCCAGGAATTCCATATCACGATCGCACCAAAAGAAAATGAGCACCTTGCTGGCCTCATCAGCAAAAGGCGTAGTGGCTGCTATGATACATCATCTATGGCGTACTCCGTATCTTCGTCAGCCTTACTGTGCTGCAAGGGGGCACGGCCTACGGTGGAGTACGGTGTACTTTTTCTCACAATCCATCGGAGCATGAGATGTCCCGCCTTATCTTCGCAGGTTCATCGCCATGGAGCGTGGGGGATGGCCAAGGGAGTTTGTTGTCTCATGTGCATCAATGCAATAATTCCAGCGTTCGAACAACAGAAAGGAGCGCAGATGACAGCGGAAAGTCCATCAACGGGGATTGCAATATGTTTGCACGTCGAGGCATGAGTGAAGAGCGAAGTTTTGAAGAACCCCCGCGCTCAGTCGTGAGGCGTCGTGGGTTAGGGGTTACACAGCCCCTTGGCAATCCAATCTGTGAGACATATCACGTGAAAGCTACCCGTTTTCGACAAGTGGTGACACTTTTGAGTCTGCGGTGGCGCTTCGGCATGGCTGAGACACCTGGAGGGCTCGTAATCGCCTACGAGATCCAGCAGAGAATGGATCAATATAATCACTGTGTTGCTACGGCACTTGCCTTTCGATGATGCATCATCATCGAAAATCGGGTTTCTGCCCCACCTGCGCTGTGCATTCGGGCCGACTCCATCGGCGCCGAGCCGAAACGTTCAAAGTCGCGTTCGCGAATGCCAATATTCCGCAAGGCTAGTCCCCTTTCAGGCAATGCTGCGCGGTGATGGGAAGCGGAACCGGAGTGTCGGACAGCAGAAGCGAAGGTGTTTTCTGTGTGGCTCACACTCGCTTGCGGTGACAACAGAAGCGAAGGGTGCTGCTTGTCTGGCTTGCCCTCTTTTACAATGAGCAGCAACGTTGCTACCATAGGGAAGCAAATCTAGCACGGCACATCCAACCTCATTAATCCTTCCTGCCTCCCTTCACGCAAAGAACGCAAAGCAAAGGGGTTGGCAATGGCGACAAAATCCCATCTTTCCCAAAATATCCCGGCATGGCAAAGCTAACATCCCCTTCTCCTTCTCCTTCCACTTCGCTTTCCCCCCACAGCCAATCTCGCGTCCCCCTCCGAAACCTGCACCCAAAAAGCAATCCGCGCGGGGCGCCCCTCGGCAGCCACACCCCCCAGCACCCCAGCCCACCAATCATCCGTCTCCCCTCCCGCCTCAACCCACCCACCTCCTCTCCCAAACCGCTCTCGTACACGTAAATTCTCAACTCACATTCTCGCCCCCGATCAAGAACCAACACACCTGCCAAACCCGAACATGGCACCCCACGTTCCCCCCTCCCGTCAAACCCCCCCTCCGGGACAAGCAGTTCACCCCAACTAGCCTCTTCCCTGCGCGCGCGTCTCGCCCGGGACACACTGCCCCGGGTACGGTACCCAGCGGCAAACGACGGTGGGTCTCGCCCGTACCCGCGCCGCGGGATTCTGCAGCGAGGCCGGCGGACCGCAGGCGAGACAAGCGCGTTCGTCGAACCCCCAGGGGTGGAAGGGAAAAGTGGGTCCACCGGGAATGTGCCCGCGCCATGCTATTGGCCACGCG